TATAAAGTTTATTTGAGATCAATTAACATGTTATATTAGTTTTTCATTTTTACTACTTGAAACTGAAAATAAAAATATTAAAATTGGATTTAAATTTTTTGGGGGGTTCTAAAAAGTGCCAATTTGTTAATCTAATTATACAATTTTTATGTTAAAATTATTTAACAAAGTCAAGTAGCAAATTTTTTAAATATTAATAAATTTTTTGGAGAAAATTAATATAAAATTTAAAAGATAATTACTTTTTTTCATATTATAATTGTAGGGAATTTCATGACAGATATTTTTCTTAAATTATTTATTATCTATATTACAATTTACACGACTTTTGTCATCCATTTAATTTGTATAATTTTTTTTTTTTATCAGATCTTTGTTGTTAAAAATGAAAATGTAAAAAAAATTACCTATATCGTATTTAAATAATCAATTCAGCCATTACTATATTCTTACAATCATAATCAAATATCTGTGAGACAAGTTGTTTTTATGTGATGGGTAGTCAAAACTTAAAATTAAAATACCAATAAAACCGGATTTTGTTCATGATCATATACGTTTTTGATTAAAATTCATTAAATTGTGTATGAGTTATCATTTTCTTTTGGTATTAACTTCTGGTACCCAACAGTCAATCATTGAATTTAAATAAGCTAGAAGCCTACTAGCTGAAACATAATATCCATCACTTGGCTGAAAAATACATAAATTTTATATTAGAAGTGCTATAAATATATCTGTTGTATATAATAAAATGTATATACTATAATATATCATATTCCTATGGMAGATCAAATGCTTTGTGCCGACGCATATCCCCTGCTTTTATTGTAGGTAGCTATATAAAAACTAAAAAGTGTTAAAAGTCGAAAACCATGTTTAAACAAGTTGGAGACTTCAAGAGAAAATAAATTTATGTGCAACTTGGTCACTTTGGTAGACCATCTAAGTACTAAGGATCACGGAAAAATACAAGCAGTATATCAGGTAGGTACTATGATGAGTATTATTATTATTATTATTATATACCTATAATAAGTGCAACTTAACAACTAGACTTCTTGCACGCCAAATAATGGGTATGGTTCAGAACGATAAAATCAATCCCATGGTGTCACGTAGCAGAGTGGTGGAGGGAGGACAGCTAAGAAATTGCCCCCTGTCCATAATGAACAAGTTTATAAATTTTTAACGATATCTTAAATTGGGAAGTAAAGAACACAAATGTTCTACAAGTTAACAAATTTTTAGTGTTTAGTTTTTTTAGTGCTCACATATCATGGAAATTTAAAGTTTTAAATTTGATCTCAGTTGTGTTTTCCACCAAAAGAGAGAGAAAACAAAAAGTGTTTYGACGTCCAAATTTTGAATTATTTTTAATAGTATTGAATTTAAAAAAAAAATAGTTAAAAATGGAATAAAGTTGATTTCAAGTAAGTTTCACGAAAAATACAAATAGGCTTTTAAATATTGTATAAAATAACTTGGCTAGTTAATACAACTGTCAAAAGGTTCATACTTGTTGACAAAAAAATAATATATATTATATGCATAGGAATCTAAATATATATTTATATGATTACTAATATTTGTTAGCATATAATGGATTTCGTTATGCATCATGTAGATGGGAGCTCAGCAATTTCTTAATTCTTTTACACTTAAGTCATACAGACAAAATAATATATCATATTATTATGATGTTATTTTGATAACTYACTAAGCACACATTTACACAACACCGCAATAATGCTCTTTATAATTCCCCAACTTAAAATTCCTTACAAATAGATTGAATCCCCCTTAAAGTAGCTGTTTTAAGTATTCAATATTCATGAATAATAATTCATAATTACATATGATTTTCAATCTTTGATATATTATAATTATTAACAGCAAGAGAGATTCTAAAATTGTTTGTATCAAATATAGTGCAGACTAACAGACTAAATATATATAGTATTTACATTTAAATACTTACATGATAAAACATCAATACATTCAAAAATATTTGTTTTAAATCATTAATAACTTGAAAGAGTGTTGTATAATATTTATTCGATTCTAAACGGTTCTTAATAATATTCAATGACGTTGGATCACAAATTTTTTCGTAAAACGATGGATACTATATTAGAGTAATAATGTATTTATATTCAATTTYAAAATTTACTATTTATCTATGTATTGATTTAACTTACGATAATCTTATTGGGACAGTCTCTAAAATGAACACTATCAACATTTTGACAGAATAATTCCATTAGTATTCGCTCAATAATTTTACGTCCTGGTTCACCAATTGATGTACTATATGTGGAAGATTTCAGATCTTTCAGAACCTTGGAAAACATTTTAGGATATTCACACATTGTACATCTCCAAAATGGGAACGAACCACATCTATAAACAAAGTCAGCCATTATTTAATCATAATTTAAAATAATGTTATAAGAGATTCTAATGTATTAGTAATATATATATTCAGTGGCGTATTTTGGTTTTAACCCTCCCCAGAAGACAAAAAAGTTTAACTTTTGGTTATTTTTGGTCACAAGGTCACGGTAGACGATGAGATAACGATGTTAATACTATTTATTAGTACACCGTCAATTATAGTAGACAATCTACGTAATTATTAAGTTTATTATAAGCTGATACTTATTTATTACTCTCCCCCACACAAAAAAAAATAAATTGAAAATACGCCATTGTTTATATTAATGAAATAAAGTTTAAAAATTTGAATTACTTAAGAAGAATATTCTCGGGAATCAAAGGTATATGGCAATGATTATGATAGCTTCTTTTACAATTAACGCATTTAACTAATTGTTTAGCTGATTGACGACAGCAAGAACATTCTACGTAATTTAATGGTTCACTGTCTACATTTCCAGTGTCTAAAAGCAAAAATAAAGTAAATAATAACTTAGTACTATCATCAATAATTTATCATTTGGGCTCGAATATAAATGCCCTTAAAAATACCAGAAAATGTTCTTTCAATAAATCCATTCATGACATTTAGACTTTAAAAATGTCTTAGAAATATAAAAAATGGATTATTAATTAAAACAAGACTAAAGCGTCCGACTGTCAGCTACACGAACCACCGATACAATATTAACGCTCGATAAGAAATTTTTGTTTCTTGTAAGCAATCAATTCGGCTAATTGGAAGATTGCCATACCTAATGTTAAATTTCAGCTTTGTCTAATTTAAAACCGCATTACTTGAGCTATGTTCAAAATGAAAATAATTTATACAACGTGCTATGCAGTTGTAGTACTTATATTTCAATTAGGTAAGACATGTCCAAAATATTTTAAAATGCATTAAAAAAGTTGAAAAATACCTTAAAAAGTATTCAAATT